CCCCAAAACCCCAAAACCCCAAAACCCCAATTAATGAAATTCAAAAAGATTAGTTAAGAAATTAATTCAGTTTAATAAATTATCTATTTCTTTACCACGTTACTATTAGCTTGCTTATACTTTCTCATTTATCATTATAGTTGAATATCTTACTTATCTGAAATCATTAATTCCTAATTCTTGGATTATTTAGAATTCCTAATGAATTGATTATACTAAGATTGATTGATCTTTAAAAGTTTGGCTTGATTTAAAACCTTAGCTGAGAAATCCGGTTTATACACTTGCTCCTAGAGTGCTTTGAGTCCTAGATAATCGTAAGAGCTTAGCTTAATGAAAAATCCTTCTGATCCTGAGCAAACAAGAACATCTCCTTGCAGGATTAGATAAAAATCTGTAGTAGGAATACCTCTAACAAAGAGTATTGGATCGATGTTTTATTGAAGTTTTCTCTTGAATTCAATAGATCCCATTATGCTATCATTTAGTGGCTTATTCTCCTCAGGCACTTCTTCTTCATCTAAGTTGCCTGTATTTAGTTCTCCACCTTCTCCTCTGCTTGAAAGGAGCTTAGAATTATCATCATCTTATTACTATTACTACCTCATTTGATCGTCAAGTTCAATTTCCTCAACATTATTCTAGAATGGAGTTTAGGCGTCAGTATTGTAGGGTGAAGTTCCTATGGAATTCTTGAGTTAGCCTTGCCCCTTCGCTGTCTCCTTTTTCTACAGATGCTTGTCGAATTGCATTTGATCCATATTTTGGTACTCATTAAGGTATGTGAGCTAATTTCTTGTAAAGTAGTTGGTCTCATTGATTATATGAGAAAAAGGGTTTGAATCACTCTCAATATCTACAACATCACAATTTCTGATCAAAAGGTAAAGCTGTTCTTTATCGAGAATTGAAGAGTGAAAGCTATCTACTTTTAACTGTAAAAATTCACAAATGGCAATGATTTCAGCATCATTGAGCTGATTTTTTGCTTTATGATCAGTAAAAAGGTAAATTAGTCTGTTCTTTAGCAACTTCCTTTCTCCTTTGAGATTTTGAGTCTCTCTCTCATCTTCAATTTCTTCTTATAGAATTTCTTCAACTATATCCTCTATAGTTACTATTCCTATGTTCTTAAGAGTCAGTTCACTACCAATTTCTTTGGATTTCGTAGTTACTAATCCCATATGTGTATTATTTTCTTTAAAGTAACTCAATACCGGTTCTAGCTTAGTTTCGACATCAATGGCTATTATATCTCTAAGTAATATGCTAGAGAGCTGCTTAATCGTGACTATTGTGTTTTCAAGATTTATCAGCACCAGATCTCTAGTCATCAGTAAACCCACAATATTTTCTCTCTCTCCCTCATAAACAGGTATTCTTGAATAACCCTCGCTGTAAATCTTTTTTAGAAGGTGCTGGTTTAGATTGGCATTGATGTCAATCATGAAAGCTTTGTCTATTGGAGTCATAACTTGACCTATTCCCTTTGTCTTAAGTTCCAAAACAGCAGATAGTATCTTTCTTTCCTAGGGTTTCAATAACTAGGACTTTTCATACTATTCAAACATTCTTTTCATTTGATTTTTGCTCAGCACATTTCCAGCTTCCTCACCTAGAATTTTATCAAGAATTGCCCCAATAGGATATGCAAAGAGGAATGTGACATAGTAAAAGAAGTAGGTCGGCCACCTCAAAAATGTGCTGATCTATAAACTATACTTGTTAGATAAAGCCTGAGGTAAGATCTCACCGAATATTGTAATGATTGAAGTTGATATCAGAAACCCCTTGATATCTCCTTCTATCTCTGCCATTAGCACAGATATAATTGCATTAGTTGAGGCACATCCTAAAAGAATAGTAGTTAGTAGCTAGTTTCCTCTTCTTCTCAATGGGAAGATCTTCTTAGCATAAACTGCATTTTTTTCATCTTCTTTAGTTTCGAAGGGACCTTGAGTCATAAGTTCGAGATATCTGGTATCTAGTCCCATGAGTCCAATATTGAGACCGTTGAACATAGCAGAGAGAAATTGCAAGATGACAATGATTAGATAAATGTACCAAGGTATTTCCATATGTACTACTGTTTTGCTGATATAAAGTTATATATTTTATTTGTTTATAATTACTAAATATTTATTTCTACATAATCTTATTCTAACTTAATAATCTCCTTACGGGGTTTTGGGGTTTTGGGGAGATCGGAAGAGCACAC